AGAGCGCTAGCCTTGAGCTGAAGAGCTGAGGGACAGTGCCCAGGCCCAGAGTTCAGGCCCCATGACTGGACCCCCCCCCCAAAAAAAAAGAATGAATCTTCTGTCTGCCCAGTTGTGAAGAAGGGAAAAGAAATTTCATGGCCAGGCTCCAGTGGCTCACACCTGTAATCCTAGCTACTGGCTGAGTGAAGCCAGTCCAGGCAGAAAAAACTATGAGACTCTTCATCTTCAGTTAACCACCAGGAAACTGGGAGTGGCACTGTAGCTCTAAGTGGTAGAGTGCTACCCTTCAGCAAAAATGCTCAGGGACAGTGCCCAGGCCCTGAGTTCAAGCCCATGACCAAAAAGAAAAAAAAAAGAAATTTATGCTAATTTTTCTATTACACTTCATATTGCAAAAGTTGTAGCACAATGTGTACTGAGCACTTAGCTAAGAAGGAAAAGACATTAAATTTGTGTATTATATATAAGAATATATATGAAAAACATGTAACTGGGAGAGAGTGAGGGAAAGGGCGATGCTGTCCAAAAAGACATGGACTCATTACCTGACTTATGTAACTATAATCCTTCTGTACATTACCTTTATACTAACAATTACAAATTTTAAATAAAAATAAACAGATATAGAGAGGGAGGAAGAGAGAAAGAGAGAAGGCATGAGAAGTGGGAAGAGGAGGAGATGACAAAGGGAGATACAGTAGTGGTTACAGCTATCCACTAGGGGTCTTGAACTGTATCCCCTGCTGATAGAGAGGTGTGATGTACTTTAATAGTGTTTATTCTAGTTTCCTGATTTAAGAAAACTCAAAACTATTCTTCTAGCAACCCCCCCAAACATTTATGATTGTAATACTGATTTAATGATTTATATATTCATGTTAGCTAATTTGCTTCTAGTTTTTTTTAATTTGAAGTAATGTGAAATATAAGATGATATTTATGATTAACGTTTTCATTTAACAGGTTTCTGATCTGTTTAAAAACATCTTTTAAAACTGGGTATATTCTAAAAATAAAAAGTTATACTGAGCACTGGACTTAATTAGGTAAAGTGTATTTAGCATTAGCACTATTACCAAGTAATTTAATAATATCAAGCAAGTCTGTTAAATTTTTTGGAACTCAGTTCATTATCTGCAAATATAAAGAGTTTTTAACTATATAAAACCTAAATATTCCTTCTAGATTTTTTTTTTGTCAGTCGTGGGGCCTGAACTCTGGGCCTGGGTGCTGTCCCTCAGCTCTTCAGCTCAAGGCTAGTGCTGTACCACTTGAGCCACAGCACCACTTCCTTTTCTGTTTATGGGTGCTGAGGAAACGAACCCAGGGCCTCATGCATGCTAGGCAAGCATTCTCCTTTGGGCCAGCTTCCCAGCCCTTCCTTCTAGATTTAAAATATACTAATATTTACTTGGCTAATATCGAATGCAATCCACTTTTCTCTTTAGAGTTTTTGAAAAAGATGAACATGTGCTTGTATTGAACAACCCTCCACAAAGCAGTCAATTATTTCTTCCCTATGAAACTCAGAAATTACTAAGACCAATAAAGATACATTCTTCAAGACCAAGAGTTACAGGTACAGAATTGTTTCTTATTTAAAAACTTTATTTTCCTTTGCAAACACTGAAGAAATCAAAATGACTTTTAGTTATCATTTGGTATAAGCAAGAAAACAGTTCTGGGATCTGTAGACTCAGGAAAGTACTATTGTGAATACTTCTGAGAGCAAATAAGATCTGAACTTCACATCTGTCTTTTTTTTAGAAAGAAATTATTTTCATGATACATTAAAATGAGTCAATAATTGTATATGAAAATTAAGGGAAGGAGTGGGTTGAAGTGTGAGGAAGGGGATGAGAATATTGAAGGGGATGATCAAGATGAACATTGTATTAATGGGCTTAGTGGTAGCGTGCTTGCCTAGCATGCATGAAGTCCTGGGTTCAATTTTTTAGTAGCACATACACAGAAAAAGCTGGAAGTGTCTCTGTGGCTCAAGTGGTAGAGTGCTAGCCTTGTGCTAGCCTTGAGCAAAAGAAGCTCAGGGACAGGTCCTAGGCCCTGAGTTTATGCCCCAGGAAAAAAAATGCATTGTATTCATAAACTGATCTGTTAAATGGCATCTTCTTTGTGCAATGACTTAAAGACAATGAAGAAATTTTGAAAGTGTTCTGGTTTGATAGCAGTCAGAGGAGGAAAAATAAATATATACATTTTAGTTGAGATATTGTATATTATCAGTATGTGTGATTTAAGTGGGAGTTAATACTATTAACTTGTGTTAATAGTATTTGTAACTTGGTCACCAAAGTATGAGAATCATATTTCATTCCAGTTGGTCTCCAGATTAGATGAACTACATTGTGTTAGACTGACTACATTAGCTGTTTTATTTGTTCCATATCATTAGTATCACTACTCTTATCTTCTTTGGTTATTCATTAAAATGATATAGTTTTTTTCACTTAGTCTTTTCACACTAATCGTTATAATAACTAATATATATTTAATGAATTAAGAGTTTTAAATAATTTTAACTCTGAATCTTAGATACTCATTTAGACCTGATTTTATTTTTTTAAACATTTTTTATTATTATATCTTGAAGTAGTTGTACAAAGAAGTTCCCATTCTACAAAACAGTATATGAATACAAAGTGTCTGACAACATTGTCACCTATCACTCCTAACCCATCCCTTTTCTCACTTTTCTTTTAAAATTGAGATTAGATTACATAAATTTCACATATTTCACAGAATAGAGGAATAGTGATACTTAGTTAAAGACACAAATACATTTTAACCTTCACAAGGCAAATTGTCATTACCATGGTCTATAAAGTTTGTGAATTCTATGAGCTTTGACAATACAAATTATTTCTTCCACATTGGGTGATGTTTAGATTTCTTTCCTTTTGCTTAGTGTAGGCTGTTCCCTCTTTCCCTCTTATTCCTCCCTTCCCATCACTGTCTTTGGGTTGCTTAGTTCTTTTACTTCTATGTCCAATGCAGCTGATGGTCCCCTTTGTTGTATGTTGTTCCGTTTCCCACTTATTCTGTGTCTTCCTCCTGGCTTCCCTCCGTTGCGTGCATATATCTACCATATATATGGTCAAGAACATGGAGTCATTTAGTAATGATATGACAAAATGGGTGGCTGCCTTTTGTTTCTTGAGTCTTGTTTACTTTGCCATATCTTCTTGTATTTTGGCTTTAGCATCCACGTATCAGGGAGACCTTGTGCCATTTGTCTCTTTGTTCTTGGCTTACCTTGCTCAAAATAGTTTACTATAGTTCTATCCATTTCCCTGCAAATACCATTATGTTGTCCTTTCTAATGGCTGCGTAATATTCTATTGTATATAGGTACCTCAGTTTTTGTATCCACTTATCAGTAGTGGGGCATTTGGGTTGTTCCAAGATCTTGGCTATTGTGAACAGTGTTGCAATAAACATGGAGGTGCATGTGTCTTTGTGTACTGGTTCCTGTTGTTCAGGGTAGATGCCTCGGAGTGGTATGACTGGGTTATAAGGGAGGTCAATAGTTAGCTTTCTGAGGTACCTCCAGACTGCTTTCCAAAGTGGTTGTATTAGTATACATTCCCACCAGCAATGCAGTAGAGTCATCTTTCTCCGCATTCCCTCCAGAATTTGTCATTGGTTGAATGTAGGATGTGGGCCATTCTGACTGGGGTAAGGTGGTATCTCAGGGTTGTTTTTATTTGCATTTCTTTTACAGCCAGGGATGATGAACATTTCCTCATGTGTTTCTTTGCCATTTTTATTTCTTCTTCTGAGAAGTTTCTCTTTAGTTCCCTTGCCCATTTCATGATTGGTTTGTTAGATCTGTGAGGGGTTAGTTTCTTGAGTTCCCTGTATGTAATGGATATTAGACCCTTGTCTGATATATTGCTGGTAAATATTTTTTTCCCAAATAGTTGGCTTTCTTTCTAGTTTGGTTACTATTTCTTTATCTGTGCAGAAACTTTATTTTAAGGTAGTCCCATCTATCAAGTCTCTCTCCAATTTGTTGTGACCCTGGGACTCCGTTCAGGAAGTTCCTGCCTGTGCCTATAAGTTTAAGTATCTTTCCTACTCTGTCCTGCAGTAGTTTCAGAATATCAGGTTTGATGTTAAGGTCTTTCATCCATTTTGAGTTGATGTTAGTGCATGGTGACAGGCTAAGGTCAACTTTTAGATTTCTGCATGTGGTCATTCAGTTTTCCCAGCACCAGTAGTTGAAGAGGTTATGATTATTCCACTGTATGTCTTTGGTTCCTTTGTCAAATATCAACTGTCACATATGGGGCTTTATTTCTGGGTCCTCTAATCTGTTCCATTGGTCTTGAGGTCTCTTTTTGTGCCAGTACCAAGCTGCCTTTGTTATTATGGCTCTATAGTAGAGCTTGAAATTCAGTATCGTGATCCTTCCTGCATTCTTTCTTTTGCCTAGAATTGCTTTGGCTATTCTAGGTCTTGTTGTTCCATATGAATTTTTGGACTGTTTTCTCTATTTCAGTAAAGTACATCATTGGGATTTTAATGGGAATTGCATTGAATGTTTATATCAATTTTGGCAGTATGACTATTTTTACTATGTTCTATCTATCCAGGAACATGGGAGGTCTTTCCATTTCCTGGTATCTTCTGTGATTCCTTTTTTTAAGGGTTTTGTAGTTTTCATGAAATAGACCTTTTACATCTTTGGTTAGGTTAATTCCTAGATACTTTTTTTTTTGAGATTATTGTGAATGGGGTTTTTTCCTTGATTTCCCTTTCTGCTTGTACATTGTTGCTGTACAGAAAGGCGACTGATTTTTGTGGGTTAATTTTATATCCTGCTACTTCGTTGAAGTGGTTTATAAGCTCTAAGAGTTTGGGGATGGACCTTTTGGAATCGTTAAGATATAAAATCATGTCATCTGCAAAAAAGAGATAGTTTAACTTCTTCCTCCCCTATGCGGATCCCTTTAATGTCTTTTTCTTGCCTATTGCTCTGGCTAAGGATTCCAGAACTTTATAAAAGAGGAGTGGAGGAAGTGGGCATCCTTGCCTTGTTCCTGTTTTTAGGGGAATGGGTTGTAGTTTTAGACCTGATTTTCTAAGGTACAAATTTAGATTAAATGTTAGAGATAAAGGCTGGGGTGTAGGCTCAGTGGAAGAATGCGAGCCTAGCATCTTATTCTCACCACTAAAAATGAAGAAAGAAAAAGGGAGGGAGGAAGGGAAAAACTGGAGGAAAAGATGGAAAGGTGGTTGGAGATCATGTTTGATTCTCTTTTTTTTTTTTTGTCAGTTGTGGGGCTTGAACTCTGGGCCTGAGTGCTATCCCTCAGCTCTTCAGCTCAAGGCGAGCGCTCTACCACTTGAGCTACAGCGCCACTTCCGGTTTTCTGGTAGTTTTTATTGGAGATAGGAGTCTCACGGTCTTTCCTGCCCGGGCTGGCTTTGAACCGCGATCCTCAGATCTCAGCCTCCTGAGTAGCTAGGGTTACAGCGCCACCAGCGCCCAGCCAGAGATCATGTTTGATTCTGTCTTCCAGAATTAGATGAAGAAGATAATGCCATCAAACAGTCAAAGATTGCCAGTGCTGACTTCAGACAAAAAGAAAATGATATCCAGGTAGGTTTTATTTTTTAACAGCACAGATGTTTGCTTTCATTATATGAAATAATGAACATTCTGCATTTGGAATACAGAGGTTGAATGTCTGTTAATTAAATCTTTCATTAGTATAACCTCAGGGTCTAAAATTTTAAATTTTCTTTTTGGTTGGTTGTGGGGCTTGAACTCTGGGCCTGGGCGCTATCCCTCAGTTCTTCAGATCAAGGCGAGCACTCTACCATTTGAACCACAGTATCACTTCTGTTTTTTTATGGTTTATTTGAGATAAGAGTCTCACAGATTTCCTGCCCAGGCTGGCTTTGAATCACAATTCTCTGATTTCAGCCTCCTGAGTAGCTAGGATTACAGGCATGAGCCACCGATGCCCAGCTTAAAATATTAACATGTCAGTATTCTGAACATATACTGTAACAAGTCCATTAAAGTAAGAAAAACGGTACTTTAAAATACCAAACCCTGACATGATAACCTATACACAACTCTAGCTATTCACACACAAACAGTCAGACAAGAGGATACCAGTAGGTGAGGAACCCAAAGGCAAAACGCCCCTAAACTTTTAAAATACTACTTATTGAAAGGAATTCCAGGAAACAGAAACATGGGTTGTTTAGGTGGTGTTTGTGTGTGCTTCTTTTTTCTTTGTTTCCCCTTCTGCTTTTTTTTTGTGGGGGGGGCGGGAAATGTGGAATACAGAAAAGGAGGGAGGAAAGATGAACAAATGCAATCATGATATTCAGTATACACTAGGTGGAATATTGGAAAATGAGCTATTCACCTTGTGAGCAGGGACAGGAGGGCAAAACTGGGGAAAAGTGAAGGAAGGTGAAATTGTTCAAAAGAGAAATGTGTGTATTACCTGAATTGTGAAATGGTAATCCTTCTGTATAATACCTTAATAAAAACAATAAAATAATAAAATGCCAAGCCCTGTGCCTAGTAGACCAGAAACTTAGAAAAATCTCTGAAATAATGGCCGGGAGCTGGTAGCTCACACCTGTAATCAGGAGGCTGAGTTCAAAGCCAGCCCAGGAAGGGAAGTCTATGAGACTCTTATCTCCAATAAACCACTCCGAAAACCAGAAGTGGTGCTGTGGCTCAAGAGGTATAGTGCTCACCTTGAGCTGAAGAGCTGAGGGACAGCGCTCAGGCCCAGAGTTCAAGCCCCAGGACTGACAAAAAAAAAAATCTCTGAAATAAGAAAGAAGGATTGATTTGAAGAAGGATATTATCTCCTGGTATATGCATTTTTCACAACGGAGAGATCCAGGAACAATGATTAGGGTAATTGGTTAGGTTACTTCAGTAGACTAGTTAATCATTGTTTCTTCCATATCCATTCTGCTTTTAGTCTGGTATGAGCCGTGGGATGACTTTCTTCAGGTGGAAGCAATGAGTTTAAGTGAGAAAGACAAGTTGGTTCTTCTTGATACTTGTGAACTACAAGGAATTTACCACCAGAAAGCTAATTACTGATTTTGCACATCATTGTTTCCCTTTGTTCTCCCTGAAAACAGTCCAGAGGGAAATTTTTGATGAAAAATATAATTGTCATTCCATCAGTTCACAGTTAATAATATAACTAAGTGGTAATGGTAACTAATTAATGAAATTTAAGTCTAAGTAAATATTAAGTATAAAATCTAAAATTCTGGTACTAAAAGTCCTGATTATGTCAGTTTGAAGTGAGGAAAGAAGATAAAAGAAGAAAACAATTTATTTAAACTATTTTTGGGGTGTGTGGGATGGAGCTGGGAATGGAGACAGGGAGAATGCTTGAATAATGATTAATTTTATATGTTGGTGGAAAAATGCAAAGATTTGAACATGTGTTAAATATTTAAGGGTCATCTTCAAAAGAGAAAAGGAAGGCATAAAATTTTAAGGCAGTAAAAAAAATAAAGCAAATTAGTCAATAAGAGATAGAAGAATGGGGGAGAATAGAGCAGCTATAAAGCATTTAAATAGAAAACAAGACTAGATCTATTTCTGAGCCATAAATATGTGATTCAGTTAGTACCATCTTTAAAATATCCTTATCTTTTTCACTTAAGGCTGGCACTCTACCTCTTTAGCTAAGTAGCTAGGATTACAGGTGTGAGCCACTGGTGCCCAGCTACATATATTTTTATATTTAAAAAATTATTTTTGTTGGTTGTAGAGCTTGAACTAGGAGATGAGTACTATATCTGAGCTCTTTTGCTCAAGGCTAGTGCTCTACTACCTTGAGCCACAGCACTACTTCCAGTTTTCTGGTGATTAATTAGAGATAAATGTTTCATGGACTTTCTTGCCCTTTCTTGGTTTTTAACCATGATCCTCAGATCTCAGCCTCATGAGAAGCTAGGATTACAGGTGTGAGCCACCAGCACCCAGCTATTTCTTAAATATTAGCAAAGCACAGTGTGGTTCTGGGAAAGACAAATTGATCAATTGGCAATGTCAAAACAAAAAGCCTGTACAACAAAAGACACTAGAGTAGTTAAAATATAACAGTATGAGCCAGGCACCGGTGACTCATGCCTGTAATTCTAGCTACTCAGGAGGCTGAGATCTGAGGATAGCTGTTCAAAGCCAGCCAGGGCAAGAAAAGTCCATGAGACCCTTATCTTCAATAAACCACTCAGAAAACCAGAAGTGGCACTGTGGCTCCAGTGGTTGAGCTCCAGCCTAGAGCTGAAGAGCGGAGGGACAGTGCCCAGGCCCAGAGTTCAAGCTCCGTGACCCCAAAAAAAAACAAACATATAGTGATTCTTAAATTTTATGGAGACAATAAAAGTGAAGCTAGAAACTTTTAAACAATTTATGTTATCATTTCATTGGTCAGAACATAGTCAGAAGACTATCTCTGTCTTCAGATGTTGAGAAATACAGAGTTTATAAGAAGGCAAATAACAGAAAAGAAATGGGGTCACTGAAATAAAAAGATTCTTTCTTTCTTTCTTTATTTTCTTTTAAAAAAATTTTTTATTGTGAAAATACCGTACAGAGGGGTTACAGTTACATGGGCAAGGTAATGAGTACATTTCTTATCAAGCTTTGTTGCTTCCTCCTTTGTTTCCCCTTCCATCTCTTCCCATCTCCCACCCCCTAACACCTCTAACTCCTACCCCCCCCATATAAAGATTCTTGCCTACAGGAGTATATCTACTTTCATTTATAAGATAGCCAACATTCAAAAATCTTAGTACAACTTTGTGAGATTAAGATTTGTGTGTGTGTGTGTAATTTGTTACAACTATTTTATAGGACTGATTCACCATATTTATTAGTAATAAAATACATATACCAAGCAAGCTTACTACTTGGTTCTAAACTTTGTCAGGGAGTCATATACAAAAATGTATTGCTTAAAACATACATCAAACCAATAACTGAATTTGTTCTTTAAAGGAGACTGACACATTATAAAAGCATAATAATGATAGATTACATTACTCTGTTTAACAAAAATAAAATAGATGAACTTTGCTTTTAAAACAAAGATCCTTACATTTTGAGTCTATTAACAAAAAAAATTGGGGATTGTTCAAAATGAGTCACTCAGGAATAATGAAAGGCTTGAAACAAAGAGCTGTTTTAAACAATATTAAAGTAAAATTAAAAATGAAATCCTAGTTCTTTAATATATACATAAGAGAGAAAGTTCAGACTTTGTTTTCCTTTCCTGTATTAGATTGAGAGATTATAAAGGAAGGAAGACTATAGAAATCAGACTGGACCAGATGAGATTACATCTTTTCCAATTTTCTGGGAGGTAGAGATAAAGATTGTAGTTTGAGGCTAACCTCAGCAAAAAGTTAGCAAGACGCCATCTCAGCCACAGACGAAGTGATTAATTGTGTTCACACCCATCATCCCAGCTATGTGGGAGGTATAAGTAGGAAGACTTAGGTTTCCATTCACCTAGGCAAAAACCATGATATACTATTTGAAAAATGAAATCAAGTAATCATTTGAGAAAACATCTACTTGATTAGTCATGAATATGAACAGGATAAAAATTTTAAAGCATTACCTTAAATGTAGAAATTTTGCCCCAAATGGTTATCATATTTTTTAAAAAGATCAAATTCTAGCCTGGTGCCAGTGACCCACACCAGTAATCCTAGCTACTTAAGAGGCTGAGATCCGAGATCACAGTTCAAAGCCAGCCTGGGCAGTAAAGTCTTGAGACTATCTCCAGTTAACCACCAGAAAATTCAAGTAGCACTATGGCTCAAAGTGGTAGAGCACTAGCCTTGAGCAAAAGACCTCTGGGATAGTGCCCCCCAATGACAAAAAAAGAAAACAAAACCCATTAAATTCTGAGTCTTTTTCTGTTGCTCTTGTTAGTGTTGGGCTTGGACATCGGGACCATGTGCTTATTAGGCAGGCACTCTACCTCTTAAGTCACATCCTTTGCTTTCAGTTATTTTTAATTATTGTTATTTTTTTTGTATGTGTGTATGTGTGCTGGTCTTGGAGTTTGAACTTTGGACCTTGGGCACTGTCCCTGAGCCTTTTTGCTCAAGGCTAGCACTCTGCTACTTGAGCCACAGCTCTACTTCTGGCCTTTTGGTGATTACTTGGAAATAAGAATTTCACGGATTTTCCTACCTCGACTTGCTATGAACCAAGATCCTCAGATCTCATCCTCCCAAGTGGTTAGGATTACAGGTATGAGCTACCTGCATCCAGCTGTTTTTATTATTATTATAAGATAGTCTTCCATTTTTGCCTGGGGCCAGGCTGTAGCTTGAAGCTCTTACCTGTGCCTTTCATGCAGGTAAAACTACGGGCATCTGCCACCATATCCAGACTGTTGGCTGAGTTGGGTATCTTGCTAACTTTTTTGGCAGGACTGACCTCTTAGAACAATCTTTTCAATCTCTACCTCCAAGTAGGTGTAATTACAGATGTATACCACTATTCCTGGCTAGCCTGAGAGTCTCTTTTTGTTTCTTCATATTTACTTTGTTTTAAGTGTAGTAGTTTTAGTAAATATTTGTAGTTGTTGATGTTGATAATGATTGATGATGATAGTGGAGTGAAATGTTAATCTGGGACAGCTCTGAGCAGTTTATGGCATATGCTTATTGTTTTATATAGCCAATTATAATGCTTAATTTCTTGCAGGTATTTAATGACTCTGCTATGAGTGATATTACAGCTATTAAAAGTTCACAAAATTCTTTGCAATTCAGGTAACTTTTTAAAATAAAATTCTTGGGGACCAGGGATGTATCTCAGTGGTAGAGTAACACAGAAAGAGAAGGAAGGAAGGAAGGAAGGGAGGGAGGGAGGGAGGGAGGGAGGGAGGGAAGAAGGGAAAGGGGGAAAGAGGGAGGAAAGGGAGGAGAAAGGCAAAGGGGAATAGCAAGGGAAAAGGCAGGAAGAATGCAGAAGAAAAAGGAAAGGGAAAGAAAGGGAGGGAGAGGAAGGAAAGGAAGGGGAGGGGAGGGAAGGAATGGCTAATAAATACCAACTAAGGAAATAATATAAAGTTATGCTTATTGTATTTTAGATTAAATTTACAGAAAAAAGCAAGCTGTAATCAGTGGTTTGAAAAAGAAAATACAGGCATTTCAGGTATTTGCTTTTTATATTTTTCCTAAGTAAAAGTAACTATATATATGTATACATATTATTCAAATAAAGTATTTGGATATTTTTATCTTTGGTAATTGCCCACACAGGCCAAGCATTAAAGTACATGTTCTTCTAAATGCATTTCCTTGTAGGAAGTTTGGAAAACAAAAATCTAAAAGAAACAAGTATACCATCACATAGACATAGCTGATGCCCATACTTACTTGTGCATATTTTTAGTCTATACATATTTTTTCATCCTAAATTTGAATCATGTCTCATGTAATTTTACATCCTTTGTGTCCCTACTTGATACACTATTGAGCTTGTTTCTCTAGGTCATTGGTTTTATTTGGAATAACTGTATAATGGTCTGTTGTGTGAATACACCATAATTTATTTAGCCATTTTCTCACATTAAATATTTGGTTGTTTCTAGAATTTTTTGCTATTATAAATAATACTATATTCTTTTGCACTAATGTTTTACCATCTTGGGCTGTTTTCTCTGGATAAAATCATAGAGGGCTCATAGAATATATGTGTGTATTTGTTATCCTCAAATCAGCTAGCTATTGGGATTTTGACACATCTTTGAAAATACTTTTTTCTGTATCTCATATGTACACCTATATGGCATATGTCTATATGTATATAAATACCTGTAAGAATATGTATATGTGTCATATATTATACGTATTTGGAAATGCATTAATACATAAAATTATCCCACACATTATTCTATGTAAATATCTTCAAGTCTCGTTTGATTATGGACTCTTATTTTGGAAATACCTCATTCTGAAAGCATGAGAATATTGTAGATATATGCATTTTCAGAATGGTCAGTTTTTTTGTTTCTAGTACTAGAACTTGAACTTAAGGCTTCCAACTCTTACTTGGCTTTTTTGCTCAAGTTTAGCACTTTATCACTTGAGCCATACCTCCACTTCTGGCTTTTTGGGAGGCAGATTGGAGGTAAATCTCATAGATGTTTTTGACTGGACTGACTTCAAACCATGAACATCAGATCCTGCCTAACTAGGATTACAGATATGAGCCACAAGTACTTGACAGAATGGTCATAATGTATCAATATTTTTTATGGGATTCATCCAAAAAACCATGCTTTTTCCACAAAGATAAATAGTCTCCCTACATTTTTCTCTGTAAGATGTATATTCGTAACTAGATGTTTATATCCTTTCTATATGCCAAGCTGAAAGTACTAGACAGGAGCAATATCTAATATCTAGGAACAATACATCCTTGAAATAAAACGTTGGAAATGTATATAAATGACATAGTTTTCCCTGTTGTTGAACACGTGTGATGAAGACATAATTATTTTGGAAAATAAAAAGATAACTTTTAGCAACCTCTATACCCACAATGTGATGAAATACATGGAGAAAAGTGATAATTGTGACTCAAAATACAAAGCTTTTCGAAAAATCACATAGAGAAACAGATGCATGACTTCAGTATGGAAAGGATTTTTAGAATCCTTTGAAGTTTAAAAAAATTTCATCATTAAGTAATTGTAGAAAGACTTTACATAGCCATAAGTCAGGTTATGAGTATAATGAATTTTAGTCAATGTCACCCTTCCCTTTGTCCCCCCCAGTTTTTCCTCTCCTAATCCTTTGAAGTTTTTTTAAGGATTTTTAAATAATTAAAAAGCCTAATTATAAAAGAAAATTTAACTATATTAAAATTAAGAATTTTTTAAATCAAAAGATACCATAAAGAATAGAAGGTGAGTCATCATGCCAAAAGACATGCAGTATATAAAACTGTCAAAAAGAGTAATTTAGCCGGGTGTCAGTGGCTGACGCTTGTAATCCTACTCAGGAGGCTGAGATTTGAGGATCATGGTTCAAAGCCAGTCCAGGCAGGAAAGTCCGTGAGACTTTTATCTCCAATAAACCACTCTGAAACCCAGAAGTGGCACTGTGGTTCAAATGATAGAGTGCTTACCTTGAGCTGAAGAGCTAAGGGATAGGCGCCCAGGCTCAGAGTTCAAGCCTCACAACTGGTGTAGTCCACACGATGTGAAAGAACTATTAATCAAGAAAAAAAAAACACATTTTCATTTCGGCAGCTCATAGACTAAATTTGGTATGATACAGAGAAGATTAGCATAGCTCCTGTCTAAAAGTTTCGCACATTCATGAAGCATTCCATATAAGAAAAGAAGGAAAAGACAACCCAATTTGAAGTGATATGTAAAATATGTGAATAAGCACTTTAAAAAGAGCAATTTGTGTGGCAAATAAACATGAAAAGATGCTCAGCAACTCATGGAACTGTAAAAACTACAGTGAGATGTTCTTACACATCTCTAGATTAGTAAAATTCAAAAGTGTGACCACATTAAGTATTAAAAAGTAATGCTGCTGAGAATGTAGGACAATAGGGAACTGTCCTTTAGAAACAACTATATAATTGAAACCATACCTAAATTATAATTGAACTTAATAGTTTATCTGGTGGGATTAAATGATTTCTAGAATGGCTAGTTGTCAGAACAAAAACTGACACACCTCTCTGGTCTTAGAATATAGACATAATGTATACTTCCTAATTCTACCTATTCTATTCTTAAGTACATATTTAGAGAAATATAGCTAAATACATACAAGGATGTATCTAAGAGAATGTTACAATATTGTAATAACTTTAAAAGAGAAACATAAAAAATGCTCAGTTGCATAAGAATGCATAGATAGCATATGAATGACAAAATACTTAAGAATGAGAAAATTATGTTTATATTCAACAATATATTTAAATTCAGCAATATGTTTATAGTGATCAATTTTACATGCATATTGCTAAATAAAGCAAAGCGATAATAGCATATGATACTATTCCATTTGACATTTTAAAACAGGAAAAAATTATTTTTATGGTTTATCATATACAAGTTAGGAAATGAGTATCACAAAAGTCAGAGTAGGGATTACTTTTTTTTTTTGTCAGTCCTAGAACTTGAACTCAGGGCCTGGGCACTGTGCCTGAGCTGCTTTTTGCTCAAGGCTAGCACTCTATCACTTGAACCACAGCACCACTTCCAGCTTTTTCTGTGTATGTGGTACTGAGGAATTGAACCCACGGCTTCTTGCACGCTAGGCAAGCACTCTACCACTAGGCCACATTTCCTGCCCTAGGATTACTTCTGAGGAAGGAGAATATGGAGAATATGAGACTTTTTGTAAAAGTGTTCATGATGCTTGATTTCCTCAACTTAGTGGTGGCCACATGAGTGTTTTTACAATTTTGTTTGTTAAACTATAAATATTATGTTTTGTTCTTTTATTTGTATTTATTGTGTTGGGTCATATAAAATTGCAAGTTAAACTTCATACCTTCATACACCTAGACTAATATTTTATTTTACAATAAAATTGAAAAAGAGTAATAGTTTTTTTCTTATATAACAGATGCAGAATGTGGAGATAAAGGGATGGTAAGACAATTGAGAGAATCAAGCTGTACTTCTTCACAAGTAAGTCAGATGTTTGATTTCTGATTTCTAAGAAAAACATTCTAATTTTATATTCCATTTCCATTTTTTTTCAGGGTGGTAGTGGGGCTTGAGCTCTGGGCCGGGGCACTGTCTCTAAGCTTTTTAGCTCAAGGCTAGCACTCTACCACTTGAGCCACAGCGCCACTTCCGGCTTTTTATGTTTATGTGGTGCTGAGGAATCAAACCCAGGGCCTTATGCAAGTGAGGCAAGCACTCTACCACTGCTCTACCTTCCCAGCCCTTATACTCTGTTTCCATTTTAAGCTTACATTTAGTACAATGAAATTTACATGAGCTGTTATTTGGTTGATCATCAGAATTCTGGAGAGATACAGATTCTATTTTTCAGATTCAAAAATGCAGCCACAGAGGTTTACATTAAAAATACAAAAATTATCATTAATAAGTGATGATATATTGATATAACATAATTGAAAGAAAAATTGTTTAATAAGACTAAATTATTTGCTACTACAATTCAAGACCAGTTGTTGCTGTAAAAGTATATTGAAAAAGTATTTTTGAATATTAGAAAACATTAATCATAACACATTTTAACAATGTATATCAACTTTACCATAGCTAATAAGGGTTAAAATAAGGGCAATTACATAACACAATTTTGCTGTAAGGAAATTCAGGTAAAATGTACATTTAATTTTTTTAACAAACCCAAATTATTTCTGTAAAAGAATTTGTTGTAATGAGTATGTATCTAAGGAATAACATCTCTGGCCTACAAAACCATAAACAGGAAAATTAGTATTTAGGTTCTCAATATTTATAGAAAAGGTAAAGAAGCCGGGCGCTGGTGGCTCATACCTGTAATCCTAACTACTCAGGAAGCTGAGATCTAAGGATTGCGGTTCAAAGCCAGCCTGAGCAGGAAAGTCTGTGAGACACTTATCTCCAATAAACCACTCAGAAAACCATAAGTGGTGCTGTGGCTCAATGATAGAGTGCTAGCCTTGAGCTGAAGAGCTGAGGGACAATGCCAGGCCCAGAGTTCAAGCCCCATGACTGACGAGAGAGAGAGAGAGAGAGAGAGAGAGAGGGGGGGGGGAGAGAGAGAGAGAGAGAGAGAGAGAGAGAGAGAATAGCAAAAAAAAGGACAGGAACATAATTTGTGTTAACATCTTCCTGTTAACAGTTATATGAAATAATAGCTGTCTGATATAACCAACTATGAAGATAAAAGATTTGTCTTGGTTCACAGTTTAGAGGTGCAGTCCCTGATCATTGCTTTGGGCCTGTGGCAGCACACTACCTCACATCATGGCTAGGAAGTGGAAAAAAAGAGGAAGTGACTAAGGTCTCATAATCCCCTTCCAAGGCATACTTCTTCCTGCCCCCCAATGACCTAAAGATAATCTTAATTAGAATTTGCAAATAGTTCCAAGCTGGGACACAAGCCTTTAACATGGGTCTTTGAAGAAGAACATTTCAGATTCAGACTATAACATGAACCAAGTGAAAGCAAAATTCTTAAATACAAGTTAATAGACAATTTTTCCAGAGTACAATGTTGTAATTTTAAAGAAAATTACTCTTAAATACTTTCTTCAATTTCAATATGATCAGTTTGTCACTGACTTTTTTTTTTTAGGTAGGAGTAAGGAAGATAGGAGCCAGGAAGAAGAGAAAAATAATTAAAATAACTAGCTTTTTAATTTTTTGAATATATAGTACCAGTTTACTGTTTTTTTATTTACTTATTTTATCTGTGAAATGATAACAATTTGTTGATTTCCTACTTTGTACATTTTATGTCATTTTATTAATATAATAACGTTTATTACTAAAGTTTTCTGTTACTTTGAATTTGCAGGCTACATGTACAGAACACTTTGGAAAGTCAATAGAAAATACTAGTGACAAAGTAGAAGAAAGGGCTGAAATTTTTTCACGAAATCCTGAAACTCCTATATTTTTAAGAACTGAAGCTGTGAAGACACCTGAATCTTTGGAGAAAATACAGTTTCCAAAAAGTCCCTTGTTTGAAATGTAGGGTTTTAAATACTATTTATAATTAAATTATCTCTTCATTGACATATAAATATTGTAAGGGGTTTATTATGAAATGTTTCAGAAATGAAAAGGAAGAGAGGCTAGTATAATGGAACTCCATATATTCATTCCTCTGAACACTTCTTAAATGTTTTAGTGATTTGTTTCATAAAAAAGCCATTTTTCCTCAGTCATTTATTTAGCTGAAGATATGTAGATTCTGAGTATTTATTCCATATGGTAGTATATAGATATAAGATTTTCCAAAGGTTGAGAAAATTATGAAAAAATTACAAAGGTCAAACTAAAGAGCTACTGTCATTTATGGTAGATTGTAGTCTTAATATTCATTAATGTTCTAGCAGTTATTTTTCCATGTGTTGTTTTGTCTAAAGCAAGAACTGCCATTCTGTTACATAACTTCTTTGGGCATAAATATCTCTCTAACATGAATATTTAATTATAAAATACAGATTTGTGATTAGCAGCCAAGAAAGTAGTGCTGCAATTAACCTTTATATTTAATTCAGTCTCTTCTTTAACATTGAACCATGAGGTTCTTCTAAGACACATGTCAAATAGACTACTTCATCAGGAATCATCCACCTGTGGTCTGTATCTGTATTTTGAACTACTAGTAAGAGTTTTATGTATGAATATTATGGTGTGTTGACTTAAGCACAGCATGTTCAAAGTAGAAGTCATCAAATTTGAAAACTGGGAAATATCAAATACTAATATCAAAACTGGGAAATATCAAAGCCTCTCTCCATGGGTGAGAATATTACTACACACACACACACACACACACACACACACACACACACACAAAATGTATATTAGGTGGTGGAGATTGAACCCAGTGACTCATGCATGCCAAACATATTCTCTACCCTTGTGCTACAATCTCATCTCTTATGTGACAGTATATGCAAGTCACTAGGCACTTTATAAATAATGCTTATTTATAGTTCATAACAACTATTTAAATTGTAGGCATGTTATTATCTTCATTTTCTAGATGTGGGAATAGAATTTACTGATAAAACTAGTCAGTGTTATAGTTGAGATTTTTTAAACAGACAATTCTGGACATAAAATCCTTATTTTTAACTACTGTGTAATATATTATCCTGTCTAAATTTTCTCAGATCATTTTATAGTTAAACTCCTTTTAATTTTTTTTTAATTTAATTTCTGGCTTTTCTGTAAGATCTTGTGACTGGATTTTGAGATCTAAAAGATAATGCCAAGGCTAAGTGCTTGGATTTTGAATCTGAATTGTTGTAGTAAAATTTCAACTCTAGCACTTCTTTTCAGTTATCACTTAACTATTCTTGCTTCCAAATTCTTGTACTGCAAAATGAAAGTTACAGCAGTAGTAACTACCTATCTCATCGAATCATTTTGTGAAGTAAGTTATTCTTACGGAAGTACCTGGTAGAGCACTGGGCACTGGTGGCTCGTGCCTGTAATCCTGGCTACTCAGGAGACTGAGATATGAGGATCACAGTTCAAAGCCAGCCTGGGAAGGAAAGGCCATGAAACTCTTACCTCCAATAAACCACCGAAAACCAGAAGTAGAACTATGGCTCAGGTGGTAGAGCGCTAGCCTTGAGCTGAAGAGCTCAGGGACAGTGCTCAGGCCCAGAGTTCAAGCCCCAGGACCGACAAAAAACAAAAACAAAAAACAAACAAGAAAGTACCTGGTAGAATTGTGCCTGATAGTATATTCTCAGAAAGTATTCTTACCCTCATGTTGATTTTTCTATTTATTTTCCACCAAAACCATCTTTTCACCATAGGTTTGTCACTTTAGTAGCTACTCCCTACTTTTTCTACTATGCTAATTTTTACCTCTATGTTACTGCTTATGGTACTTACCATTTGCATTGTTCCACAAGAGCTTTATAATATTTTAATGACTTCTTAATTTCTCTGTAACAGAAATAGAAATACAGTGCCTGAAGATCAAACACAAAAATCTCCTGGATTTTCATTTATTACAAGTTTTGCTTCTAGATCACCAGGATTGAATTTATTTGACTCCTCTGTATTTGATTCAGAAAACTCATCAGATCAGGTAAAAGTATAAGTTTTATTTTTAAAAACTGTACACTGGGGCTGGGAAGGTGGTTCAGTGGTAGAGTGTTTGCCTTGCATATAAGCAGAGTGCTTGCACCTATAAGCAGAAAAAGCTGGAAGTGGCGCTGTGGCTCAGGTGGTAGAGCTCTAGCCTTGAGCTGAAGAGCTGAAGTACAGCACCCAGGCCCAGAGTTCAGGCCCCACGAACGACCCGCCCCCACCTCCCAAAAAATCTGAATATTAGACCTGGCATATAGATAAATGGTTGAGTGCTTGCCTAGCATTGGCGAGGCCCTGGTTTGATACCCAACACCATGAAAGTAAAACAACGCTATTAAAGTCCTCAAAATACAGATTTTTTTGGTTGGTGGTGGTTGGGCTTGAATTCAGGGCTTAGGTGCTGCTGTTCCTGAGTAGTTTTGCTCCAGGCTAGCTTTCTACCACTTTGAGCCATAGGGCCACTTCTGGTTTTTAGTGGTTAATTGGAGATAAATGTCTTGTGGGGACTTTTCTGCCAAGGTTGGCTTTGAACCACAATCCTCAGATTTCAGCCTTCTGAATAGCTAGGATTACAGGCATGAGCCATGGGCTCCTAGCTAACACAGGGAGGGTTTAATTTGTAGTTTAAAATTAATTTGATTTTATAATGAATGTGTTTAACTCCTAAGCAAACTACATATTATCAATTAGCTTAAAATGCTGTTATAAATTGGTCTTTTCAACCATATATGTGTACCTTGCACCTCTGTCATTAGTTAGTTTTAAAGGTAAGTAATTCCCTGGTCTGAAAGTTTGACTCTTATGGTAGGTTGAATATTAACTATCCTAACAACCACAAGGTCCTGAGTTCAAATCTCAGTATTACCCCCTCCCTAGAAAACAATTTCCTCCTAATATTTTTACTGTTCATTGACATAAATCATGATAGATCATTTTTGTATTTAATACGTAAATTGAAGAGTTAAGATATGCTTTTAGTGAGAGTAGAGAAATATTGTGGAGTGGTTAAAACTAGCTTAGAAGTCAGATAATAACTTGTATGCTTTGCATGTGGAATTTGAAGTAGAAAACTCTCAGTTTCCTTATCTGTAAAATGAAAATAATAATTTTATTTGTGAATATTAAATGAATTTATACATACAAAACACCTTGAAAAGTCCCAACCACTTAATAATGCTATGAAAGGAAGTTGCAATGTAATGAAAGTATTATTATTGCTCATTTAGGTATTTTTATGTGGATTAGAAGTTTTAATTGCTGTGTCCTCTTACAGTAAATGGTTGGCATATTTTTTAAAGAGATGATACAGTACTGTATCTGTATCATTGCATATCTTCACCTTTTGCTTCAGTTTTTACTTAAGTGCTAATTTGAAAAACTACTGAAGTAAATTCCTAAAAATAATGGACTAAAGAGTTACGACTAAATTCTCTTTTAAGACAATAACAACATAGATATACATAAACTTAATGGGAAATGGGCACTTTAAATAAAGAAAACTATAAAACCACTGAAAAATTATTGAATACATAGATATATAAAATATGCATGTAGGAAGAGTATGTTGTAAAAATAAATTTGTTCTCAGGTAATTGATGAATGTATTTGGAATAATAGAAAATTTATCTTTAATTTTGTTGTTTTGTTTATGCAGAGGTAGAGCTAGGGAAGGAGACTGACAAAATAATGTTTCTTAGGAAAATGTTGTCAAGAATTATCAAGAAAATGTTCAAAAGTAAAACTGATAATAAAGATGGAATTGTTTTTTAAAAAATAGCAAAAGTAAAACAAACCTTAGCCAACATAGTGGCTCATGTCTATAATCCTCACTAATGGGTAATCTGAGATCAAGAGGATTGCAGTTTATGCCAGCCTAGGAGAAAAGTTAATGTGACCCTTTCCTAACCAATAAAAAGCTAGACACAGTGATAAATTATCCCAGCTTAAATAGGAAAATTCAGGCTAGCCCTGGCAAAAAATGAGACCTTACTAAAAAAAGAAACAACGAAAGAAAAAGAGCTGAGGCACATGGCTCAAGTAGTAGTATGCCTACCTAGCAGGTACAAAGCCTTGAGTTCAAACCCTGGTGTCACCAAAAAGTTTTTTTTTTTTAAGGCAAAAGAGAAGGAAAAGAATAATAGAAGATAAAAGAGCCAACATAAATAGTAAAATGATACAGAAAATTAGAACTTTATAATAATTCCATTAATGTGAATGAGTTAAATGCTCCATTAACAGAAAATTAGAACTTTATAATAATTCTATTAATATGAATGAGTTAAATGCTCCATTAAAAGATAAATATTGAACCAGGCAGTTCTGCCTCATGCTTGTAATCTTAGCTACTCAGGAGACTGAGATCCAGAAACAGTGGTCTTGAAACTAGTGATTTTGGAGACTCCATCTACCAGATAACCAGCAAAAATCCTGGGCTAGAGGAAGTGTGGTAGAGTGCCAGCTGAGCAAGCAAGCTGAGCTAATGGAAGGCCCTAAGTTCAAACCCTGTAACTGGCAAAACAAAAACAAGGAGGGGAGGTAAGGGGAGGGCCAAAGATTCTAGCATTGGATAAAACAGAATTACCTGAAGCCTGGTGGCTCACACCTATAATCCTAGCTACTCAGGAGGTTGAAATCTGAGGATGTGAGTTTGAAGTCAGCCCAGTAGAAAAAGTCTGTGAGACTCTTATCTCCAATTAACTACTAAAAAGCCAGAAGTGGAGTTGTGCTCCAAGTAGTAGAGCCCTAGTCTTGAGAAAAAAAGAAAAACTCAAAAGCTTGTTTGTTTGAAATAAGGTCTATGAAGTTCAGGCTGATCTCAAACTGGTGGTCCTCTTCCCAAGTGCTGGGATAGGCCTTATTTTAATGTAAGTAAATAAAGATAGAATGTAAATGAAGATAGAACTCTTTTTTTATGCTGGATATTGAATCTAGGTCATTATGTAGCTAGATAAGGCTTATACCACAGAATCATATACCCAGTCCTAAGACAGAACTTGTTTTAAGTGCAATTCTATGTTATATAAGAAGTATGACTTACTTTAATCTTGAATATTAGATATGCTTTATATACTGTTCTACTTATTTCACAAGTAATAGTTTGTGGGAATTATTTTCCAGTTTAATGAGCATTATTCTGCAGTAAATCTAAATCCTCCATCACAAGAAATTGGTAAGTGATTTGAAGTTTGCTACATATAAAAACATACTAATTTTCCCCCTACTTTTGTGACCCTCACTGATCTTTCCTTCCTCCTTTCACTTCCCCACCCCTTCCTTTCCCTTCCCCCCTCCCTACCCATTTCCCTCCCTCTTCTCTCCTACTCTCCAATTTCCCTCCCTTCCTTCCTTCCTTCCTTCCTTCCTTCCTTCCTTCTTTCCTTCCTTCCTTCCTTCCTTCCTTCCTTCCTTCCCCTTCCTTTCCCTCTTTGCTCTGCTTTCCTTGTCTCTGCCTTCTAGAGCCTGCTCTGACTATAAATTCTTCCCCTCCCTCTGATAGGCCAA